GTAAACAATGAACAACAAGTGATCAAGTGTATAAGAAATCGTGGATCCTCAACACACTATTAACCCTGGAGCGCTTAGGCGAATAGCACGGCTATAGTTGCTTAGGCGGGGTTACCAATAACCCCAGTGATATATTCCTATTTAATGAACAAAATATAAAAGATGGACACTTTTGTTTCAATAATAAAACATTTATTTCAAACGCTCGGTATATATTTCAGCTCGATGATTACTGCAAACAGCCTTGACACATTTCGCACAGGCAGTTTTTGTTTTTCGGTCATTTGTTCTTGGACATAAAATGCAGCGAGTCTGTTCTAGCAATTTTGCTGGAGGTGGATCAACTTTTTCTTCTGTTTTCATATCTAGAATATTCATTATTGATTCTTTCAATTTTCGAGGTATTGGTTTTGTCAAACGTCTTTCCATATGAGGCCTGACCAGTTGTAGTCCAAGTTCAAATAGGTATTTTCGACGAACACTTTTTTGTCTATCACGCTTAACTATTTGGAAAATAATGTTGGAGTTAATGCCTGCTTGATCCACGATACCATAAAAAAAGCGTAATGGCCACCTGCGTGTTTTGCGGGATACCGAATATGTGTGCACCATCTTGTCAAAGGTATCGGCACCTCCTTTGGTAGAATTGTAAAAATTTATTATCTCGGGTTTTTTATTTTCATCTATTGTACTACCAGAATGCATTGTCGATAAAAGTAGCACAGATTTAGACTTCTTGGGTGTGAAGGACACCAAGGTTTTTTGGTTGTCGAATCCATATTGAGAAGACATAATTTCTTTTCGTTTGTTTGGGAGAAATGATGGAGGAATTTCCCTCTTGTTTTTTCTGAGAGTACCCACAATGGTCAAATTGTAGTCAACAAGCATTTTGTCAGCCAGTGGGATGGAAGTAAACCAATTGTCCAGCGTCAAATTGCGTCCGGTTCCGTGAATGGGTTCTGTCAGTTTTCTTACGTAATAAGCTGGGAGAGGTTCTTTATCTGGCCTATTTTCTTTGCCGACATATGGAATAGCAGTAACCATATAATATGTGCGTGAATCACACATCGTTACAACTTTGATTCCATATTTGTCAGGTTTTGATGAAATATATACTCTAAAAGGGCAATTGCCTCGAAATACCAATAACTGTTCGTCGATGGTACAATAACTGTGAGGAGTATAGTATTTTGTACAGTTAGATATAAACATTTCCCATATATTACGTACTGGAGAAAATTTATCTTCTCGGTCTCTCATGCTCGTGTCGTCAAATCTGACGCAAGATATCAAAAATCTAAACCTTGTTTCACTCATTACGCATCGATACACTTCTGGTCCATGCTTTGACCACATTTCTGCTGTAGTTAGATGATTGTCTTTTCTACAACCTGTCATATAAAGCAGTCCTATCAAAGCCAAGATCTCTTCAACGTCTGTCTCGTTAACAAAGCCACAATTAGCAACATATTTCCCTCTTTGTCGTTCTATTTCCATATTTGTATGCACCACTATAATATCTATAACATTCGCGCTAAAAAATAACTTCCATGCCTCTAATTCCGTTGAAATATTTTTGCCCGCACCTTTTGGTCCTGGAATACACGAAACAATGTTTCGCTTAGGTGTTCGAGTACGACATGGAAGCTCAGTGCTCCAAATATGTCCATTGTTTCCTTTTATTACTTTGCCAGGAAGTTGTTCTGTCTCACTCTCTACTTCACTATCATCCGTTGAGTAGGTGCTCTCCCTGTCGGACTGAATTGAAACATGGTCGTTATAGTCAGTGCCGTCACTATCTAAATCAGGTTCATTGTCGAGTTCTTCATTCCATCGTAACAGAGTTTCTTCAAATATGGGATCATCTGGTCGGACAGCCATCTAAATAAATTACGTAATCTAGTGTGTGGAATAAAATAAAAATACCAGTTTAAGCTTACCTGGGGTTACTCGTCACCCCAAACACAAAATATCATATAAACTATTGCACTGAACAAAAATGTGTGACCAACAACACACACACTTTAACCTCAAATGAACATAGCGGGATCTCCGATGTTGCCAATTTATGCACAAAAAATTAGTGAACATTTGAATTTTCTTTGGGGTGATGCGAAACCCCACTAACCATTACAGGGTTAAACCCACTTCTGCAGTCAGCTGACGAATCAAGCTGAAAATCATTTTACAACTGAGCATAATGTGCCAAAAATTGTTAAAGTCGGATAAACATACGTAAGTGCTTACCTTTTTCTGTCACTTAGTATATAAAACAGATGACGTCCATGCTTATAGATCCCATTCAATCTAGCCTATAGGTAAATATTCCCAACACGCATCGGGACATGAAAATTTGTCCCTCCTTGTGGTCTTAGGCATTCTGATATCTGTCTAATTATATCTAGTAGAAAAGAAACCGGAAAAATATTTTTTAGTCGGCAGAGAGTCCATCCTGTTTTGATTGCGTGACGGTAAACGGTTAGTAACCATACTTGAGAGCTTATTGATGTAACTGTGAATTATAAAAGCATACAGCAGGTAAACTGCTTCCGAGAAGTAGACTTCAATCTGCTCACGGCTATTACAAATATGTAGTGTGTTCCACTTGAAAATGATTACGCACAATTACTGCTATGTTGCTTGCCTCAAGTGTGTGTGAGTTTGACTGCAGTGATTTCAAAACAAGGAAATATTTTTTTACTACTAACCTGAGAAGGTGTTCTGCAAATCCGAACTTACCTATTTTTTATACGCCAGTTCGGTCCTGCGCTCCTTCGTGTCAGCAAATTTGTCGATCACCTGCCCGTTGAAATTTTCCTTGGTTGAAATAAACTCCTTTTCAATGGACAGCATCGACAACGCTGTAAGGCGATCCTGGGTCATAGTATTACGAAGAAAAGTCTTGATTCTTTTCAATGTTGAGAAATCTTGCTCAGCCTCTGATGTTGACACAGGAGTTGTAACAATAGTTTCTAATAGCTTTTTTGTTTCTTTTAGTGTTACCTCAAACTATTTTGTATCAAAAATTTCAAAAAGACAGAGTTCCATGTAAATAGTAATAATAATAATAATGTCTTTATTAATCCCTCCACACTGCGAGGCGAAGTTTAGCCAGCTGGCTACTCTACCACTTAACCTCACAGAGCAGGAACACATACAAAAGGAAGAACATAACAATGAATAGCAATCGACTAAATAATATATACAATAATTAAGCTTAAATAGATTAATCTTAATAATAAACAAAAAAAAAACAATAAAGACAAAAACAAGAAAAATATCAGCCAGCTTGGCTAGCAGACCCCAGAAGGTGGTTATTAATGGCTCTCTTGAATGCAAGTATTCCCATCTTTTTGTAATTGTCATTAAGACTATTATACACCTTGACCGCGTTGTAGGTGAAGCTACGATGGAAAATGTTGCTCCTATAACTAGGTATATGAAAGTCAGAGTTATGTCTCAGATTCCTGTAATTGAGATCCCCACGTGGTACCAGCCTGTTTAGTAGATAAGTAGGTAGCCTATTGATTTTTATTCGTTGTTCTAGAATTAGCAAGTTATATGTGAAAAGCTGGTCAACCCTCAACCATCTAAGCTCATTGATCTTCTTAGACACATGGCTAAACTTTCGCAGACCACAAACGAACCTACAGCAGCTATTTTGAATTTTTTGTACTCGATATCTAGTCACGTAATCAAGACAAGGAAAGTAAACAGCAATTGCATAATTTATTAACGATAGAACCAGAGTCTCTGCCAGTTTTTTGCGAGTCTTGAAATTCAGAATATGGCGATTGGTGTATAGTAACTTCAAACGCATGTATGTTAAGCGAGATAAATGCGTAACATGTTGTTTAAACCTCAAATCTGAATCCATGGTGATCCCTAAATACTTCGCATGGTCTACTATAGGAATATGGGTTTCGTTAAGATTAGGAACAAATGTGCCATCTAACCGTTGTACTAACTGTTTTGGGCCAAATAGCATGGTGGAACATTTTGAAGCATTGATCTTCAGACAATGTCTTTTGCAGTACTCTTCAATGTTAACGAGATCCAAATTCAATTTACATGATGCTTCATGCATGTCCGAAGAATCGAAAGACAGGTTAGCTGCGTGTCATCTGCATACGTTTGAATATTACAGTGCTGAAGGCAAGTATGTAGATCAAAGGTATAAACTGAATAGAGTAATGGTCCCAACACAGAGCCTTGAGGTACGCCAGATGCCACACTCTTTGCCGAAGAAACTCCCTTACGTGTTTTCACTTTCTGGGTACGATTGCGCAAATACGAATCGAAGAAACGTAGTGGCTTGTCAGAGAGACCATAAAATTTGAGCTTACTCAAGAGAATACCATGATGTACCATATCAAAGGCCTTAGAGAAGTCTAGCAGAATCAGAGCTGTTCCTATCTGATCATCTACATTTTTGATGATATGATCCGTAATATTTAATAAAGCGGTTGTTGTGCTATGCCCTGTACGGAAACCAGACTGATATTGAGGAATCATATTGTTTTGTTCAAAATAGTGGGCCAGCTGTATGTAGACAAATCTCGGCAATCATTCCGTGCATAAATAACAGACAACTCTGTATTTAAACGACTTTTTTCTAATTCGGGATAAGCCAAGCAGGTAGTTTCCAACTTGTCATCAGGGAACTTACCAAAGTATTCTCCAAAGTGTTCGGGTAAAAACAGGGATGCGGCTACCAAATGATCTTTGCATTGATATCTGTCATTTGCAGAATTCACTATATTGTCGCATACTTCTAATGCGGCAACTCGCTGATCGTGACTGCTATTATTACGTCGTCTCCTTTTGTTGCCTTGGGGTTCAGCGCAAATACTTTTGGCCTCATTTACTATGTCATCAATTTTATTTCTCATATCGACAATACATTTTTCAAAATTACCTATAGCCGTTTTAACTTGCGCTGGCTCGGTTTTCCTCTTCTGCAACTGATTGAACAAGATGTCGACGTGAGGCATGACATGATGAAGAAATGTCAACCAAAACACGAAAACAGTATCGTTTAACAAACGGCGAATACCGCAAGCTGCCTTGCAAACGGCTTCATTAGTGAAATTTTCTTCTATTTCTTCCATTCATTCAATGAGTGATTCTCTGTTCTCAAACACTACATTTATTGCTCGAATATTAAAATTCCAACCTGCAGTTGCTCCTTGGGGAATTTTTTCCCCACAGTTCTGTTCAGTACCTCTACGGAGAGGAGAATTATTATTAAAAAATCTCGGAATATCCTTCAAATCCCCAAAGAACACCCGAACTTGAGCCTTTGCGGAAGACATATTCAGGTTTAACTGATGCGTTTGGCAATGCACATAGTGAGCAAAAAGAAAACTTTGTTTAATTTTTGTCTGTACTCCAGCATTATGTCCGCTCATTACCGCGGCTCCATCATGGCATTGTGAAATCAGTTTGTTAGGGAAATTTCCATTTTTCGGGATTCATATAATTCCAAAAACGTTCTACTGGTTCGCCGTTAAATACGTATCTGAAAATTGTTACCAGTTGGGTTTTCCCCGAAATGTCCGTTGTTTCATCTGCTATTATCGCCAAGTACGAGGCTCGATTAATCTGTTTTATTATTTCTTCATGACAAACATCAATAATACAATCCAGTCGATCGTTTTGTATTTCTTTCGAAGTTCCTTCAAATACTGAAGCATTTTTTGTGTTCGCTCAAGGTTGTATCAAGCTGAGCAGAAAAATTAATCAGTCCACGAAATATTCACGGGTTTTGGGAGCTCTCGGTGTCGTCGTGGCCCCGTAGCGCCAATTCAAATGGTCCGCAAAATTTTATACCGAGCACCGACCGACCAATCAGATACCGTACTTTGCATTAGATCTGTACGGATCTGTATAACGTGCAGCACATGCTTATGCCTAAATCGCGCATTTGATTTTGTAGAGAGAGAGAAAAGCAGGCGCGGGCGGCTTGTGTCGAAGTAGTGCACAGACCCTTTCAAGTGGCCCATGGATAATGTTACGCTGCGGTCGCGACGAAAATGACAAGTACACAATTGGTCGATTATGATGCTTTCTCAATACAAAAAAGACCAGACGCAGTGTCTTGCGGGAGCTGTGTTGCCGGTATTGTTTCTATTAGTGTGATATCATAGAAAATAAATATGTAATGATCAAATTACTACTGCTTTTTTCTGTTGAGACAAAGATTTTGGTAGTTCTGCAGCTCTGCAGAACTTAAGGGCCAGCCGCCCCTGGGAGGAGCTATACATAACCAAATACCATCGCATGCGAAATTCATCTCAAACTTATTTAAAGCCGCCTTTGGACCATCTACCCTCAAAAAATGTTAAACATGACATCCATCAAACACATATTCTTCCATATGGCTTTCACCCACCATTAGCTACCCTTTTTTACGGACAAGCTCCATATAAAATACACCAGCGCCTTTTCTTGCGGATGACTATTCCACTTAAGCCTACTAAATCGCCGGCTGTCATCTCCGGACTTTTTTGCCCCCTGTTTCGTCGCCGGCCATTTGTCAAGGTCCTCACCGTACATTCGGCGGTATTAATCAGCTGTTGACGCTGGAAGAGTTCGGGAGGAGCCTGTCTGGCGTTTACGCAGGCCGAAAATAGGATCGGACAGAGAACTACGTAAAAATCATTCGTGGGTAAAAATAGAACACACAGTGCAGACGATCAGCTGTACTGAGCGTCATGATCTCATAACTATTGTGAAAATGTGACTGTCTGCAGTGGGATTTTAGACACAGATTTAAATTCGAGTTCAGTATTTTCCTGCTGATGTTACAAGAAACATTGTCAATAAAACTTGACACTAGGGAGGAAACAACGTTAAAACAACAGTAAGGTAAAACAAGTAACGAGGATCTTACGTTTGTTTCTGACTTTACATTATTCGGTAGATTATTGAAAATGTTTAATAATAATAATAATAAACGGCTGTTCTTACACTCAAGCCTTCTAAACACTAAAGCTTAATGCTAATTTGACATACAAATATGGTATTTTACATACACAGTAAACGATTGTATGTCTACGAATCTAACTAAAAAAATAAAATAATCATAATTGATCACAGGGCATTTATGTCCTATGCTGAATTCCTAGAAGATGTTGTCTGAGATGCAGTTTGAAACGGATGTTATTAGTATTTGATATACCGATATTCCTGCTATAGATGTTAAATACGTGAAAGATCTATAAAAGAGTGATGTTACATACATAGAAATTGTAAAATGGTTTTGATGTCTTATATTGCCTGATACCATAAACCATATTATAACTGACATTATTAATGTCAATCTAGAACAATATTCAGAACTCAGGCTACTTATCTTATTACTACTACTTCGTCTTTATTACATGTTACTGATTCCATCATTCACAATTTAGATAATCACATCAACACCGCGTTGGTACTGTTAGATTTCTCGAAAGCCTTTGATATGGTCAATCACCAAATACTACTGAGTAAGCTATACATTATGGAATGTCAGATATAGTTCTGAGATTCTTTGAGTGATGGTTGCTAAATCGTCAACAAACAGTGAAAACTGATCAGGGAATTTCCTCCACTGAGCCAGTTCCTTCAGGAGTTCCTCAGGGTTCAGTGTTAAGTCCGTTACTATATCTGATTTATACGATCGATCTGTAAGACTGTTTAGTCCACTGTTGTATGCAAACTTATGCAGATGATACTCAGTTAGTGTTTGGTTTCGATCCATCAAAGGTTGATGAAGTTTCTTTTAAAGTTAATTTAGATTTGGATACTGTAACAAACACTGCTTGAAGATCAATCCTAATAAAACTACTGCAATGTTGTACTGTTCGAAGAACTCCTACCGTGAAATGAAGCAGAGGATTTGTGTTGTTTTGGATGAGACACTCATCCCTTTTGTGGATTACGCCAAGAATCTCGGTGTTACCCTTGACTTAAATATGAGATTCGATCGGCATGTCTCTTTCTTATCTAGAGTAACGTATATGCGTTTGAAACTTCTCTATTCTAATCGATTCATCGTGAACTTTAAAACCCGAAAAAAGCTCGCCGAAAGTCTTGTGTTGTCTATCATTTCTTACCCTCTTGTTCTTTATTACCGATGTTTAGACTACGTCCAAAAAAGAAAACTCCAGAAAATTCAGAACAGCTGTTGTAGGTTTATTTTTGGGTTGCGCAAGTTTAGTCGCGTCTCAGATAAAATCATAGAACTCAACTGGTTGCGAATTGATAAGTTATTTTTATATCTTCTGACCGTCTTCACGATAAAGTTGTATTATCTAACAGACCAGCTTACATTGATAGCAAATTAGTTCCCCGTGGTAGTTTTGTTACCAGAGCTCTTAGAATGAATGCTAACTTTAACATGCCTCCTCACAATACCTCGGTCTTTGAAAGAGGTTACACCTATAATGCTGTCAAGCATTACAATGCAGTCAACAGTGGCTATCGATCCAAACAGATTGCTTCTTTTAATAAATTATTGAAAAGTCAGCTGCTGGAGTCCATTTCGTTCAGTTTTTCTTGTGTTCATGTGCTTTTTTTACTATTTTCTACTATTTTTGTTTCAAATTTAAAACTCTCACAATACTATCTGCATTTGTCTCGTGCAGTCAATGTTGTCATGCTTATGAACTATATTTTTTTTGGTTTTTCTTGTATGTTATTATTTTGTTTACGTGCTTAAGTATTTTTTTTCTGTTGTAGGGTTGAGGGGCTAAACTTCGCCTCACTACAGCTAATAAAGGAATTATTATTATTATTATTGGCATTCAGTACTCGCAGTTTCAAATAACACCTCTTAGATATTGTCTTAATGTATTATTGGTAACGTAAATTGCCATTTATGATCAAACCAAGTATCTTACAGCTGGTTGAAAAATAAAGTTGTTGTTCAATCAAGAAGAGGGTCAGACCGCTGCTCAAGTTTTCTCGCTTGTGATCAGAACAGAAAGCACAAGTTTCGTTTTATCAGGATTTAGTTTCAAATTGTGTTCTTTACAATTGTCAGATACTGTTCGTAAGTCAGTGTTGATTAAATCATTTGCCTGTTCCACAAGCGATGGTTCAAAATGAAACAGAAGCTGCGTGTGATCAACATAATATTGAATGTGTGAGTACTGTACGGATTTCAAGATATCAGCTGTGTATATACTGAATAACAATGGACCTTGAGGAACTCCTTGTGTCATTGTTGTTATCTCAGATCTTTTGTTATGTAGAATAACGCTTTGCTTACGAAGACTTAAGTAATTGCAAATTAAGTTCAACGCTGTATGGTCAAGGCCATAATGATACAGTTTTGAGCACATAAGTGAATGGTCAATGGTGTCAAAGGCTTTTGAAAAATTCTTAATTACTTGTAATGCCCAAATCTACAATGTAAAAAAAATATTATTTTCCCATAAATAATTAAAAATGCATCGAACCTTAAAACTCGAAATATCTGAAAAATGGCTAACTATAACGAAAACTCACATGAGAGCTTTTTTATGTAAAAAATTGCACTAAGAAAAATTTTTCGGTCATGTTAATACATTACAGGTACAGTAGAGAGCGTCCTCTAGCGGCTACAGTAAAACTATGCCCATGGTTCGTTTTGTCGTACCAAAAAACCCTTGTATACTAATTTTCACTGTTATACATCAAATATTGTTCGAAATATTTAAAAAAAACTATTTTAAAAAGTAAATTTAAACAGCCTGTATTTCGGAAGCCACGCATTTTTCGACCCATGTTTATATAGACTTTATGCATTAATTTTTAAAGTTCTATCGAATCTTTAAGTTATGCAACAATAAACTGAAACACCATTTATAATAAAATGTGTGATCAAGTTTCGAGTCTGAGAACTACTGAGGCAATATGCTTGACACATTTCCCTTCAAAAGCTAAAATCTGCTAAACAGTAGACAACAACAATTTTCCCAGCTGCGGCCTCCAAACTTCCCGAACGTGCCCATGCTAGCTCTGGGAATTTTCTTCCAATCCCCCACCCGGATAGTTTCCGAAGACTGCCAAGTAATTTAATGACGGCCGCAGTCAAATTTGAACAGACGGAACGTAAATTTTGCGGCCTGCTCGGTGTTCAAGTTGCAGGGAGATATGCCGCTCCGGGAACTTATGGGCCACCACTTTGTACTCCATCGGCGAATGGGGTCTTAATATTTATTCGAGGAACTGATGGCTCGAGATGAGAGCGTTTCGAAACTATAAATTGTGGTCGGGCTTAGTCAGGAACACAGGGGTTTGCAGAGAAGTATTCGCAATAACATTATTTAGAACTAAGCAGAGTAAAGTCGTTAAGCCACAGTGTATCGATATAGCTGATGATCAACTGCAGTTGAGTGAAAGTGTAAAATTCTTAGGCATCTATATTGATGAATTTTTAGATTGGACAACACATGTATTTGAACTGCTGAAGAGGCTCAATTCCATTTGCTATGGTTTTACGGTAATATCAAGATATCTAAATATGAAAATATTGTACCATGTTAATTTTGAAAGTGTTCTAAAGTATGGGATTATTTTTTGGGGGCGCAATAGGTTTATTAAAAAAATGTTTGTTGTACAAAAAAGAGCAATACGTCTGCTAAAGGGACTAAATTTCAATGAAACTTGCAGGTGGTGTTTAAAACTGAAAAAATCGTGACTATGTATGCCACCTATGTGTATGAATGTCTAATATTTTTTTTCAA